TCTCCCATTGTTTGATATAAAATATTTGGATGAAATAAACATAGAACATTAGAATGCAATGATTGCAACCCGTAAACCAATTAAAAAATTCAAAATTATTTCCCAAAAAACTAACCCTAACACAAACTCGTAACACAAACACAAACCCTACCTCTAAACCCTAACCCTTACAATAATCCTAACCCTAGACCCTAACACTAACCCTTACCCTAGCAGTTTAGTAGATGCGTCCTTAATAAAACCAGTGCTAATTAAAAATGAGATCTGTGATCTTTTGTAATTGGTTTTTAGGTTGCATTTCGTGCACACCAATCTTTGAGTTCCCCTTAATCAGCTAAGTTAACATGTAGGAAAGGTAACTGTACAGAATATTAATCGTCAGAATTTCTAAATACAATAAATAAAAGAATAACAAACATTCCACAACGGTTTAATACTCAAAAAAGCTTACACAAAGTATTCTATCAGCTCACAGCGCGCTTGCGCAATTTTACGCAAAAGGTCAGATACAGTTCATCCCTGCACTGCGGTAACAAATGCCGAACATATGGGGGGGGGGCGTAGTACCATGCGTAGATGCCGGCCCACGCCGTGCCAATCACCTGCGCCCAATCCCGCCTCCGGTGTTGTTGACTGTGTCTGGATATCTGGCTCAGGTGGGTGGGTGAGGAGAGAGAGAGAGAGAGTGCGGTTGATACTTCGCAAGGCTACTATCACTTAAAACTAAATCAGGTGCAAGTCACCGTCCCTGCACCCTCCTGTTTTGAAGCATTTATTGGACATAACAGAAATCGATGGTGGAACTGTCGCCGCGTAGACTGGACAGGTAAACTGATTCCAGTGAGATCTCCGACCGATCGGTCGGTTTGTCCATAAACGCTGGGAATACGAAAGTGTTTTCATGTTACATCCCTGCCGAAGAGAAGGCACCTCTCGAGATTAGTGGCTGTCAATTTGAAGAAGTCGACAGTTTCAAATACTTGGGAGCGAGGTTGCTGCCGAATGG